ATATGCATTCATAACATCATCTAGCCTCTGAGGGCATCCCATCATATCATTTCGGCCACTGTGGGCAAATCATCAACGTATACCAGCTGATCAGGTGGTGGTGCGTATATAACGCCATAACCTTTTCCCATATCCCATATACATATAATATACGCGTATATAACGCCATTTGATCATGGGTCAATGTATATGTATAAATGCATGAAATGCATAAGAAATACGTTAATATAATTTTCTCGGAATGTCATAAAAATAATATGTTTGTCGAATAAATTTTATCAAATACGTATTTTTCTGAGACCCATGAACAGAAGATATAATAATAATTCACATGGGGAATCAAGAAGATAGACACCCCTAATATTTCTATGAATAGAGTCATTTATGAAAATTGTGCATTTGCTCGTTTCGTTCGTGCCGTATAGATCATGCCAAAAGAAAAGAAGGGATATCCTTAACATACCTGAACCGATTCTCGTAGAATTTGTAATTTACGCTTTACAAAATCAATCAACCAACGTTATCAATTCTTGATACGGATTTGTTTTGCTCTTTAAAGAGCTCACGATCAGCCACTCTTCTATAAGAGATTCAATTTGGATTTTTAAGGCAACTTATGAATTCATATTGATGAAACATGAATCAAACTAGTTGTAGGAAGATGGGAACTCACGACCAGCCCACTCCTTAAGAGATTGAATTTCACTCTTGATCTTTAATCCTTGGTTACTAAGGAATAAGTAAAGATTAGCTTGTATTGCTAAAGTGCATATATTTGTGTAAATTACGTTCAAAAGGCCTAAAGAATGCTAAAGTGTATATATTTGTGTAAATCACTTTCATAAGGCTTAAAGAATGCTAAAGTGAATACATATATGCTATTTACGTTCAAAAGGCTAGGGAGAATATAACCCTTGTTGTGTACTCTTATAATGTGACACAATTCCATGTATTATATGAGTCACTTGGTGACTTTTTAACCACTTCCTGGGCTGCCACGTTGGTGGTAAGATCCATCAACTTTATCCAATTCTAATTAATTATCAATTAACTTGGTAATTCTCCATTAATTAATCAATTACTCACATAATTAAGAATTATTTCAAATTACTTATAATACTACTTATTTTTAACACATCTTATATACCTTACTATCATGGCCATGTAGTACCTTGTATGGCACTAGTCCATAAATACCGGGTATTATAGCTCGGACCGTATTTTATCTCAAAATGTCACACTTTGACAAAATTCATTTTCTTCGATTTTCTTACCCTATCACCTTCACGAATTTACTCATCACTTGTTTGAAATAACATAATGCTTATAATCTCAAGATAATCTCATTCCCGGACTTATGTCGATTAACTTACGACGAAACTTTAACGTACGAAAATGCGGGAAGTAACATCACATTTTTTGAGCTTCCATCAATTTACCTATGGCGTATTTTCACGTACGAAAATATAGAGTGTAACATTATTTCCCCCTTTGGAACATTCGTCCTCGAATGTTGACGGATGCATTTATCATTTTCATAGCTTATGTCTTCCGAATAATTTAGTACTCCCTTGTCATTTAGGCGACTGTTATGTGAATAATTCCAAAGGCCAGTGCATTCCCCCCTTTAGGCCTCTTTCTCACACCACGATTTGTGGTCGGAATTCTTCCAATCTCGTAACTCTTGCTACCTTCTGCCATGCAGCCTGTAGGACTTTTTCCTTGTATGTTCTCCTATGCGACTCTTCCCTTCAGCTTTTATCCAATCTTTAGGCCTCACTTTGGGAACATATACAGAACTTGATAAGATGTCCCTCTGGGAATCTATAGGTGTATTGAAGTTCTTCGGTCGGTACTTTGTCATACTTACGAATATTGCCATATCTCATTTCGTACTTTGTAACTTCTATCCATCCATTGTTGATTTACCTTAATGTTGATCTACAATCTACCACTGATATCTTGAAACTTCTTACGTAAAACATTGTCACTGTGGCTTACATTGCATCGAGGAATACTCGAAGTGATTTTCCTGATCCACTTAGCGGCGATACTATACTTCAATAACTGTACTTTATAGCATCCCAATGTGACTTATTTACGTGGGTATTTTAATCTTGTACAATTCATGAAATCCCTTCAAATCATCACTCCATCGAAGGTCCAAATGTCATCATTTACCAATCACAATCACACCCTTATTCTACTATCAGGGCAGCATTTTATCTCTTTTAAATTCTACTAGTCTTAGACTCCTTTGAGTTTTGTTCAGGCTATGCTGAGATTTATATAACTTAGAGAAACCATCCGCTCTCTTATTTTCATGGGCTTAATCCTAAGGACGTATCCATTCCCATCACCTTCTCACTCGCCCTTTCTTATCCTTACTCTTGTCTTCAAAAAACCTTGTCGCTTTAGCATACTTTAGCTTGCTACCTATACATATCTATTTATACTACTCGCAACCTTCCTTCAACTTGTTTGCACCATAGATTTCCTTATGTTATTCTGGAACATCAAGCGAGACATCACATCGTCTCTAACTCTTCTTTACTCTCTTGGCTAGATCTCTCGGTACCTAGAAATCATAGGCTGGAAGATATGCCACTGACGATGCCGCTATCATTCCTGGATACTGAATCCCCGTGCTTCTAGCCTTTTATCCAAGTATGGGCTATTCACAACCTTCTGCATTTGAGTATTTTGTACGTTGTTCACCTTTACCTTACTACCTTAAAATCTCGCATCGTATCTTCTATCTCTTTCATGAACTCCCTTCCACATAGGTGTAATTCACGTCCATAACTTGAAGCTCTATTATAATACTTGCACCTCTGGTGCATACACAATCCGGTGGAAGCTTCGTACTGACTTCTTATGAGGTTGGTACTTTTCCAACTGGCTTTATCGTAAGGCCGTTATAGAACATGGTTGTTGTACTTTCTCTCTTGTACCTCTGATATTAAGAGTGATCCTACAATGTTCTCGAGGGTTAGTAATTAGTATGGAGTTGAATAGATTCTCTTCGTTTGTGTCACTAACCCACGTACCTTACACTCAAATATACACGTCCATCTGACAACAAAGTTGCTCTAGTCATTTCCATCTAATTAAAGATTAGGAACTAACTCATTCACTAATTTTCTTTTCCATAATAATGAATAAGCCTAACATTTACGGAATAATAAAATAAAAATATAAATTTAATAACTAACTGTAGCAGTAACAACATAACTGGGTACCATGCCGCCAGGCATGTACAATAACCAACTATTCAAAATACACAGAAATTCTAAAACCCAGAACATCGTGAATCACAAACTACAGAAGGAAAGTCTAGTGTCTCTATACATCAGAGTCTAACAAAGGAAAAATACATAAGACAATGGACATGGGAAAGAGTAGAAGGGGATTCCGAGGTCTGCGGACGCGAAAAATATATCTTGAAGTCTCCAAAGCTGTCCCGGCTCACTAATAGTGCGGCTGATAAGGAGTACCTGGATCTGCACACGATAACCATGTGCAGAGAGTAGCATGAGTACACCACAATTAGTACCCAGTAAGTGCCAAGCCTAACTTTGGTCGGGTAGTGACGAGGTCAGGTCAGGGCCCTACTAGTATATATATATATATATATATATATATAAAAGGTAGAATGAAATACTGCAGTAAAATAAAGACTGAAATTTAACATGAATGAAATCATAGAAGACAACAGCTTAGTACACATAGATAACAACACGGAATCTCCCGATATACCATCTCGTAATCCCAAACGTAAATGTGTAGTACATGGGGATCTCCCGGAATCGATCTCAAATCGGGTATGTATTTACATGTGGAGGTATTGCCATATCATGACGCTTCACAAAACAATCTATTGCTGTTACTTCTTCAAATCGTGCTGGCCAAATCCGTTCAAGTGACAATCCGGCAGATTTATTCACTAAATCTTTGCCAACTTCAACTTTTGAGAAGATGGTATACAAGATTGGAATGCGGAGACTCAAATATTTGAAACAAAGTTTTCATCAGGGGGAGTAAAATACGCGATGTACTTTTTTTTCCTTACTAAGGTTTTTTCCCACATGATTTTCCTTATAAGGTTTTTAATGAGGCAGCTAGAAATGCGTATTACTAAATATGTGTACTCTTTTTCCTTCACTAGGATTTTTTCCACTGAGTTTTTCCTAGTAAGGTTTTAACGAGGCACAATACATTTTAATGAACATCTAAGGGGGAGTGTTATGAAAATAATTATTGTGGATGTCCATTTATTACCCTGCTATAGATAATCTTCCTGAAGAAGATTATCTATTTAGTACTCTATTGAAGTTTATCTACAAGCAGTTGATGCACGCAGGTTGCAAGTAGCTCAATGAAATGATTTGCAGCAGCTTCTTATTAAACAGGCAGGTTGCGAGCAGCTCATGCAGACAGTTTACAAGCAGCTAAAGAAAAGCCTTACAGCTGCTTCCTAAAAAGCCTCGCAGCTGCTTCCTTTCTTCTATAAATAGAGAAGTTTTCAGTTCATTATGTACAACAGTTTGAAGTTGAATAAAAATATCAATCTCCCTCTATACTTGTCTTGATTTATTTACTTTACAATCTTTATTTTATAACAATTTAATGTATTACAATCCTGGCATAATTTGTTTCTATGTTAAACTATCCATTTAAGGGTTGTTTGGTTGTCAAACAAGTTATTCCAAGATTAATTATCACGAGATTATTATCGTATCCTCTCATAGGGATAAAAAAAATACTATCGGAATTAGTTATATCGCGATTTTATCCCAACAAAACGTGCGATAAACTCATTTTAAATTTAATCTCAAAATTAATTATCTCTTATGCCTCGTACCAAACGGGCCTTATGGTGCACCCGCTATCCAAGTGGCTGAAAGTTCAATTAGAGATAAACACGTAAGCATTTACACATAAAGATTCCAAGAATGCCCTTATTCGGGCAGTACCAAACACGTTTTCTTCTGAAATCTGTGTTCAGCAAAATTCCATGATATCAAGAAAAAAGAAAGAACAAAAAAATCTGGATACAGATACCTTATTAGAAAAGCTCTGTGACGTTCAGAGGGCTTATAAAACAGTGTAAATTGTTTCTTGGCGGTGAATGGAGCTTCCCGCTGTTTGTTCGCGAAGCTTTGGAGGAGGTATTCTTTA